AGCTGATAAAGGATTTGTTTATGGAATTGTTACAAGCAGACCTGGACAAGTTGGTTGTGCTAACGGATATGTTTTACAAGGAGAAGAATTAGTTTTCTATCAAAGTAAACTTAAAAAAGGTAATGTTGTTTAAATAAACTTTTAAATTAATTAATTTTATAGCCCATGACTGATAAAATGAATTTGTATTTTGAAAAGAGATTGTGGTATGAATTGGGAAATGAGATTATAGAGAATATAAACAAGGATTATAGGATATCTTATGACTATCTTATGAAATCACACAAGTTTATCCATCCAATTACATTAACTAAAATCCTCTGTGAAATGATTAAAATATCACAAGGAGATCCAAAAGAAATCTATGAAATTATCAATAGCATTGAAGATCACCCACAACTGGTTCTTTCAGTCAAAATTCACTATTTACTTGTCTTAATTAGAAATGATTTAGTTAATTTTAATGAATCAGATGTCTATTTAATACTTAATGAAAATCTTAATAGTGAGAATAACAAACTTGCTAAGGCTTTAGCATTTAATTATTATGTTAGTATAGAAAACTACGATGAGGCGCTTAAATATGTATGTGATTCAGAACACATTGATCCTTACAACTTATGTTTCTCTTGTTTAAGTTCGTTAAGTTATTTTAATTTCTTAGAAATAATTGATTTGAATATTTTTAATTCAATGAGAGATTGTGAAATTAAAAGTTTAATTCAGAGACTGGCTGATAATGATTTTAGAATACCAGATTTATCAATTCATAATCTCAATTCTGATACAATTAATAGAAAGTTTAAAATACTACAAATTACCAGTCTTATTAGGGCTTATTCATCAAACATAATTTCATTTGATTATTTAACTGATAATATCCAGGTTTCTGAAAATGATTTAATTAAACTTCTTATGATTGCTATTGGCGCTAAAGTAATTAACGGTTGGATTGATCATGAAAGTAAAACATTTAATTGTATTTCACTATCTCCCATCAAATTAAAAGCTGAAGATGTTGTGAGAATTAAAGATAGATTTATAGAACTTAGAGATAAAGTTAATCATGTAATTAACTTACTCTAAATATAGAAAATAAATTTATTTAGAAATCAATGTTATTTATCTTACCTTCCTCCCATTCAGACCTATTGATTTTAAAATTTAGTTTTGATTTACCTGAAAAATAAAAAGCATCACTTTGGGTATTTTCCGACTTGATTATTTTTAACTTTCCTGTTTTAGATCTACAAATTGCCTCATTATAAACTCTCTGTTCAATTCCAGGCATATTAGACAATCCTCCTGTCAATAAAATATTTTCTATTTCATAATCAGAACAGACGTTTCCTATGATTTCTGACAAACCCATTTCACCAATCCTCATTATCGATGGATGAAAGAATATCTCTGGCCATTTAATTAACTCAATATTTAAACATTCTTTACCAATTGTTGTACCTCTTAATACATCAACTGTACTAGCAAAAAATGGTATGAAATCGGGATCAAGTAACTTAATTTCCTTTGCTTCATTATCAATTCTTTTTAATAATCTGTCTTCCTCTTCTTTATCTTCAGCATCCATTATTCTTTCTTTAATTCTCTGTTCATCACTCGTCAATCCTATTGATTTATTCTTTATAGAATATTCTCTTGTGTTTTTATCTTTTGCAAATTTACGCAGTAAATTTCTTTCCTTCAAAGATCTAACTAACGATTTAAAATTATTTTTTTTCTTTTCAGTGTAAGCTTCTGGATCTTTATTCATTTCTATTTTATCTTTCATTCCTTCAAGTATTTTATGTAGATCATCTAATTTTTTCCTAAGTTTTATTTTAAGTCTAGACAATACAGAATAGAATAACATTCTTTGTTTCTTTTTAAACTTAAGATCATCAACATCCAAGGTATCATCGGGCGAATTAAGCAAATCATAATCAATTTCAGGTATCTCTGTTTCCTTATTCTCTGTAAGTTTAATTTTCTTAACATTTTCCTTATTTGGAGATATTGATTTTATATCAAATAATTCAATATTATGTATAAAATTATTATTACATAACTCGTTGTAAATACCAGTAGATTCTTCTAGATAATCTTCTGACACTCTCATGTACTTCACCAAGCCACTATACTCCTTCTTTTTATTTACAACCCTCATTTCCATGTAATTTTTAATAATTTCAAGTAAATCACATCCTCCAAAATTTAACTTTTGCAAATATTCTATCTTTTTATCTTTAATATAACACACGAATACCCCTTTATGACTCAAATCAATAATAAGATCATCATTGTCTTTACAATATTTATAATAAACATTTAAAAAATCATATTCAAATGTAATGGTATTGAACTTGTAGTTTGTAAAAATAAATTCAATTAACTGATCTAGTACTGGCATGTATGGTGTAATAGTCATGTATAATTGATCTAATTTAGTAGGTTTAAGATGTTCTAAAATAGTGTCCAGTGTTGTACCAAATACCTCCATATTGGTGATTATATCATATGTAAACATTGAGTATCTCTTAGATCCAGAAAATGGCACAAAACTAGACTTAGTTTTTAACTTGTATACAACATTACGAGTTATAATAGATAGATCATCTTTAAATCCTGCCTTACATTCAAATGTACCGTTGTCAATTACGATTGTATTTGTCCTTTTCTTGGGTTTGTTAAAAAGTGATGTATATTCAATCTCAGTGTTTTCAATCATCTAAATTTTTATATAAAAATTCCAATGTTTAATTTTTTAAAAATTACCTTTTGTTTATTAAAAGAAACAAATTAATTTTTCGAATTTACCTCCAGTTAAAAATTAATTTATTAATTAAAAATTAGTAAATTTAAAAACCAGTCAACTAATTTTAATTTGATAATTTTAAAACTCCTATAAATTAATTTTATTTTGGATCCCTTAAAATGATGAATGAGAAATGTATACAAAAATTGATAAAGTTTAATCCATTGTTAGCAACATTAAGCACAATGTTCGAAACATTTACAATGATAGACAAAGGAGCGTATCCTCAGTTTAATTATCTTATTTTGCCAGCTATTACAATGAAATTTTTACCAGCACTAATTTCTAATTGCGCCTATAGAAAATTTAAAATAACTTTTGAGTCAGTTTATACCTTCTTAGGAGGTCTTATGCTGGGAATATTATTCTATAGAAAAAGACACCTAATTAATTATTTTTCTGATGTCGTTTACTTACTGAGAGTAACAAGCATGTATTCGTTATTCTATTCCATGGATCAAACATCTGAAATATGTACATGCTTCTTTATTAGGGAACTAACAAACATCTACATTAGAAAGATTTTATTTAAGAAGAAAGCAGTTATTAGATCTATTGAGGCATTAGACATGCTAATTGTGAGTGTATCTTTCTTTATAGCCAGATATTACGAATTAGAGTTTAAATATTTACTAGGAGCATTATTGGCAATACCTATAACTAGAAAGATTCTTAACTTCTATTTAAAAAGAAGAGTTAGTATTACTGCTGTTGATACACAAGTTGAAAATAAAAGTTTGGAAAGTGAAAATGAAAATGAATTTAGTGAGAGTAGAGAATCTTTAAGCCCAAAAAAAGAAACACCAGTCACTAAAAACGAGGTAGACCACCAAAGAAGAGCAAATAAATTCTTTTCTTAAATTTATTAATGCAATGATTTAAATCCAATAGCATCAGCCTTTTCTACAAAACAACGTCTACAGAGATTAAGTTTGTACTTTCTGTTAAAACCCCTGTGATTCCCACATCTTTCACATGATCTCTGTCCCTTTCCTTGAATTCTATTGTGAGAGAAATGAGTATGTCTTATAACATCAGTTTTTATCTTACAATCAATCTTCATATTGGGGTTAAAAAATTTTATTAAAAATTTGATCAGAAAACTAAAACGGTTCTTGTCTTTATTATAATATTTGTTTGTTTATATAAAACAAATGGTACTTACAGACGTAAATAGCAGTCCGAAACAAAGAGCCACTTTATGGGATTTTATACTTTTCTTTTTCATATTCGGTGTAATTTTAGGGTGTATAAAGCTTTATGAGATTCTAAAATCAAAAATTAAAAAAATTATTCAAAGAAGAAAAGGTTATATAACTGAGAATGAAGATGAAGTCAGCAATTTAAAAGTTATTGATGATATTAAAATCAATGAATGTGATCAATAAATGCTTTGATTTAATCATATTTTTAACCCCAATTTTAATGATTTGTTTTGGAATAACTTATCTGATTTCAAAGATTCTAGCTGATGACTTAGAAGAGACTTTAAATAAAGCTCGTGAGTATTCGAAAGATAATAAATTCACAGAGGCCAATGAGTATTTTAATAAAACTTTACAGTTTAATAATACCAATAAGGCTTTAATGTATGAATATTATCAATTTTTATTATCTTATGGTGCCTACCGTGAGATAATAAAAAGACATAAGGAGTTGAATGTTGATAGTGAAACCGTTAATACAATAGAATCTTATTATAGGACAGTAAAAATTGGTGATGTTACAAAAATTGCTAAACTAATTAAAATTAGTCCCAATTCTAAAGACGTCGTTTATTACAGCATATTTGATGCTCTAAAGAAATCTAATAGAACTCAAACTGATTTTCTAATAGAAAGATATTTTGAATTAAGTCAAAATGAAAATATGTATCATTTCTTAAAAGGAAGGGTTTTATTGGTTGATAATAGGTTTGATGAGGCTAGAAATGAGTTTATAAAAGCAAATGAATATGAAATTGCCAATATTATTAAGAATTTTCTTAGAGAATTAAATTACATAGATGAAATTAATGATTCTATCAAATTTAATTACTTAATAAGGCTATACAGTAAAGCCCAGCCTTTGATGGGTCGAGACCTAATGAATCCAAATTTATATCAACCTTTAGTTAAAAAGGTTTTGATTAAGTTAATAGAAGAAGCTATTATTAATAAGATTCCTGATTGTAGTTGCTATACAACTCGTTTACTTGTATTTGAACCATCAAATATCAAGTTTATTCAGTACCACATTCAAATTTTACTAAATACTGGTAAAATTAATGAGGCTGAACGTTACTTAGAAAATTTTAAAGGAAGATTTTCAAATCAATTGGTTAAATTTTTATCAAATTTGATCTTAGCTAAAAAACAGTCTGAAGAGGAAGATAGGAAAAAAGAAGAAGAAAAGAGGAGACAAGAGCAGGAAAGAAGAAAACAGAAACAAAAAAGACTGATTAATTCTAATAAGACAAACAAAGCTAGTACTGACTTTAAGGGGTATTATAAATTACTGGGAGTTGAGCCTTCAGCAGACCTCAAAGAAATTAAAAAAGCTAAAAAAGTTGCTGTAAGAGCTTTTCAAAAGAAAAAAAAGAAGAGCAAAGGAACAATCGATGAAACAGAAATGATGAATATTAATAAAGCATATGAGATTCTTTCAGATGAAAATAAGAGACAGATGTATGACAATGGAATTGATCCAGAAGATCCTATTGCCAGACAACAAGGAGAAGGACCTAACTTTGAATATCAAAACTTTGATTTTGATGACTTTGGTGATATGTTTAAAATGATTTTTAATGTGAATGAAAGATCTAACAGACAGAGAATCTTTACTCAAGAGGGTGGAAATAATAACAGAAGTTATAGAAGAGTTGTCTATTATTATTAAACTTTTTAATGCAAAATTTTATAAATTTCTTTACCCTTCATGTTAGAAAAACAAAAAGTAGAAACTGTTTTTAAATTAGCGTTTGTAAAGAAATTTACAAAGTTAATTGATCAAAAAACAATGCCAAAATTACACCAACCACTCTTTAAAAACGCTCTTTGTAAATTTTATGTTCATAACCAATGCAACAGAGGAAATGAATGTAGTTTTAGTCATAAACTTAGTGATTTTACAGATGAGCAGATATTAATGCTTGTTGAATCACCTCTTTATGATTCAGATACCACAAAAGTTTAAGAATTTAAAAAAGTTTCTTTTATTTCTCCATTTCAAAATCAAAAACATTAAAATTTTTTATTTAAATAAATTATTTTTTAATAAAGAATTTTTTCTTTAAATGGATTTTATTTTAAAAATTATCTATTAAAAGTTAAATAAGCGATTTTAATTCCAAATAATTATGCTGGATGAACCTTATTTACTTAATAACGTTAGATTAGAAACCTTTAGTTATGGGTTCGAACCCCATGTTGGAACAGTGATATTCAATAAATTATTTTTAAAAACACATAATATTAAATAAACTATGAAGAGTGATTTATTTTAAAAAACTGAAGAATAGAAATCAGACGAGTGTGGAGAAGTCACACGACACAACAAATTGTTTTAAATGTAAATCATTAATAATTAATATAATTTCTAATTTATTTTAATTTATAAATTTTAATTTTAAGCATCTTATTTTTAAGAGGACCAAATTTATACTCTTCAAATGTTTCTGTTCTCTTTATATCTGGTTGTAACTTTTTATTATCAATAAAAGTAAACAACAAACCATAAAGTTCTCTTTTATTGAAAGCGTTTACATTATCAGTGCTTGTAATAGAAAGATTTTCAATTGAAGGGAAAAAACCTGAACTTATTGTATCGTTTGAATCCGTATCAGTTGAGGAAATATCAAATTCCGCTTCTAGATCTTTCATAGACTGAATTTCCAAATCAAGTAATCTACTTATCTGTTCCTCAGTCTCTCCTATCTTTATTATAATTGGATCGTTTCTTGTCATCACTCGCTTAGGCTGCTCTTTTTCAGCTTCTGTATTCGTATTCGATGTTGTTTTGCTATAATTACAACAGAACATTCCTTGGAATTTATTAATTCTATTGTCAATAACTTCGTCTAAATTATTTTGAACTAAACACTTAAGATTGTATTCTTCTTCATTATCAAGGCTGTATCCTCCCATTAGATCAACATATAACATTTGTGCTCTCTTATCAGAAGCTTTAGCATCTTTAAATGACTCATAAAAATTAAGGGTCATTCTTTTATCATTCGGTCTCTTGATTACAAGAGGCTTACCTAAACAGGAATGAATGAAAATTCTACAAATAATGTTCACATCAGTTGTTTCTATGATCTTGTTTACTTGATTTAGAAAATCATTAAAAAGAACTTCAATTTCTTTTTCTGTATTATTTTCATTTTCTAAAACTTTTATCAATTCTTCATATAAAGGTTTTTATTCTCTAAATAACTCAACTAATCTTGTTAAACACTTGCATTTTAAATCCAATCTTTCAATATCTTGTCTCATAAAAGGGGATGTTTCGAACAATAATTAATAATTAATTATTTATTGGTCTATATTATGAAATTAATTTATTTAAATTCTTTTAATAATTCTCTTTTATCTTTATCACTTTCTGATAACAAAAACTTTATATATTTATCAGTAAGTGTGGTGCTATATTTTATGTTTATATGACCTTTTGAAATATGGTCAATCAATTTAATCAATTTTCTGATTTCATTTACTTGTTCGATATTCTCTTTTATCAAATCCTCATAATTCTTCGCTATCTCTGATGTTATTTCAGATTTTACTTTTAATAGATTTTCAGATATTTTTGAATTATTCGTTATAAAATCCATCAAGTATTCCTTTAAAATCTCTTTTTGTTCAAGTAAATTTTTAGTTTTCGTTATACTTTCTAAATCTGATACCGATTTCATTATCTCTTTAACCCATATTTTTACCTTAGATGCTTTGTCATGTGAATACATTTTAAATACAGTTTCTGCTAATTTCGGTATTCTTATAACATAACCACCTAATGATAAAGATATTATCATTTTCTCTATCTCATTCTCAGGTACATCAATTTTATTCTTATAAAACTCTCTTTTTTCAAGTAAAATTTTTTTATACATGTTATCACCATTTAATAAATTATCCCTCAATCTAAATATCATTTCTCTATACTCAACATCATTATTTGCATACTTTTTTAACCTCATTTTATTATACTTGTGCATTCTATTTAATAACTCGTTTCTTTTATTATTAATTAACTCTCCAAAAATATTTGATGTATCTTGTTTTAGTAAATCGTTTCTAAATTCCAAAACTGTTCTCAAATCATTGCTTGAATTATCAATAAGACTATTGCTAAAGTATTTCTTAAGACTCGAAATATCATAAGATAACAATTCTTTTGCTTTAATAATGTTGTCTACTAAAATATTTATTTCACCCTTATCCAGATTGTATGCACCTATTTGAAAAACAACAGCATCTATTGAAATGAATGATTCATATAAAATTTCCTGATTAATATTTTGAACTATTTTTTCAGTAACAATATTATTTTTATAAGTATTTTCTGTTAAATTACTCTTAAGTGGAAATATGTTAAAAAATTTCATTGATTTTAAACAAAGCCTTCTTTATTTATAAAACATTTTAAAACAAAACAAAATTACAAACTTTATTTATTATTTTTAAATTTTTTAGTAAATTCTCTTTTAGAATTTAAATTTCTTTTATTAGACGTTTTATTAAAATTTTTGCTGTTAAACTGCCTTTTTGATTTAGAAAAAGATTTATTTGCTTCTTCTTTTTGCTTCGTTATTTTTTCTTTTTCAACAGTTGTTCTAGATTTGAATCTGGTTCGACTTAAAAATTTAGCAAATAACCCTCAAATATAGCATCTTTAACAAAATACCTACTTGCCTGGCTGTCATCTTTTAGTTTAATTGATGCATAAACATCATCAACTCTACCAAAAACATCATCAATTTTACCAATTTCTTTCTTACTAAATAACACTGGTGAATTAGGATAGGGAATGTCTTTACAAATTAACTTAATAACACCCAAATTTTCACACTGATGGACAAATTTTCCCATTTTTATAGAATCTGATGTAAATGACTGTTTCTTATAATTTTTCTTAAACATTTAAAATTTTATGCAAAAATAAATTAAAATATATTTGCATGAATTAATATAAGTACATGGGAACAGATAAGAGAGTATTGGATAAAATACTGAGAAAGAAAAAGGAAATATACAATGATATTAGAAGCAAAATCAATAAAACGGAAAATAAGGCAAATAAGTTGTTACAAAAAACAACAGGAAATAATTTAAAAGAATTAAAAGTTAAATCTACACAATTTCTTAAGGAAATGGACAGAAATATAGAGAAGAAGAAAAAGGTGATTAATAGAATAAGAAGATCGATAGACAAAGTTAATAAGTTATATGAGAAATTAAATAATTCATCTGTTGTTGATGAAATGAAAGAATTTAAAGAAAACTTTGCAGCAGATCTTAATAAAAAAATTGAAGAAATCAATAAGTTTAAATCAGAACAAGATGCTTTTTATAAAAAAGAATTTAATAAGTTAAATAAGGAAGCTGATAAAATTTTAAAAGACTGATTAAAATTTATTCTTTATACTCATATTCCATTCCATAAAATCCACTTTTAACATTAGGTGCTCTCAGTAAATTCTCAGTGTCAACAGATGTTAGTGGATTCTTATTGATAGCATCAGCTGTTGATTGCAACAACTTTTTAGAGGGTGTGGGGTGCATTTTTTGAATAACTTTTGTTTGTATAGCAAGTTTAATATCTTGAGCAGATATTGTTTCTCTATTACAGTGTTTAGAATATATCTTGGCATCACCCAAGACATCATTACAATATCTATACGCAAATCCTAATAACAATTCTATCACTTTAGGTTCACATTGTTCTATTTTAGAGGATCTTAAAATAGCTGAAATAATTTTTGCATCTTTTGGTGAAACTTTATCTTCTTTCATTTCTGTATTAAAATTTCTATTAAAACTGAATAATTCTATTTAAATTAAATTTCTGTTTGATTTAAATGAAATAAAGAAAATTTATTTACATTTGATTTAATCCTTAAAAATAATGCAAGTAGAGAATAATCTGGAAAAGAAAGAAATGGACATAGAAAAGAAAGGATATAATTTAAACAGTTTAAGTTTAGAAGACATAGATCCTAATCTGTTAATTGATATCACTGAAACCATGGTTAAAGATTTTAATTTAAATTCTTTACCTCAAATTTATCAGAATAAAACTAAACCTTCCGAGTTTAAGAGGATAGCAAATTTAGCTAAAGGTGGATTTGGTGAGGTTTATATTGTTGAGAAAAACGGTGAATATTTTGCTATGAAAATGATGGCTAAGGAACAAATTCAAAGAAACTTATATAAAACATTCTTTATGAATGAAAGAAATTTACTATTAAAAGGTGATAATGTCTGGTCTGTCAGAGCCCTTCAGTGTATACAAGATGATATCTACATATATTTTATTATGGATTTTATACCAGGTGGTGATTTAATGAATTTGTTTATTGGAAAAAACTCAACATCTGAAGAAGAAGTTAGATTTTACGCAGCTGAAGCAGCTTATGCTATTCATAAAATCCATGAATATGGTTATATTCATAGAGATATTAAACCTGATAATATATTTATCAAGGAAGATGGTCATTTGATTTTAGGAGATTTTGGTAGCTCAGCTCTCATGGTTGATGGTAAGATAAAATCTAGACACCCTATAGGCACACCTGATTATGTATGTAAAGATGTTTTGGATATAGATTCTAATGATGGATATGATGAGACGGTTGACTTTTGGGGGTTGGGTGTGGTACTTTATGAATTAATAATGGGAGATGTTCCATTTAGTTCATTAAGCCTTAAAGAAACTTATAATAAAATTACCACACTTGATTATAAAAAAATTCAAGACATACCTGATGATCTATCTGACTTAATTAATCATTTAATTACAGATAGAGCAAATAGACTTGATTGGAAGGGTATAAAAACACACCCATTTTTTAAATCAATTGATTGGGATAATCTTTTAGCAATGAAACCACCATTTATTCCAAAAATAAAGTCTGCCAATGATAATAGTAACTTTAACAGTTCTAGTGATTTTAAATCAGAAATATTTAAAACAAAATGTGGATATAAAGATTATATAGGATTTACATACGATCCAGATGCAGTTAAAAGATTGAATCCTGTAAAATCAGGTGATAATTTAAATGAAATGTTGAGTCTTAAAATGTTAGAAATAGAAGATCTGAATTTTACTATTAGTGAGCTTCAAAATGAAAAAAGTAGTAAGGTAGATGAAGTAAAACAAATATCTAAAAATCTATTAAATATATCTACTGAATTGATTACAAAGAGGGATGAGTTGCATAGTTTAAATGGAATCATGCTTAATAAAACAAAAGAAATTAAACAATTAGATGCTGATATATCAAGAAAAACAAGTTTACTTAAATCGGAAAATAAAAGTGATTTAGTATTAATAGACTCAATAAGAAAATTAAATAATACAATTAATACACTTGATTATGCTAACACAATTAATGATATAAAGACTAAGGCTTATTCACTCTATAAAGAAAATGAACGACTTAAAAATCAAATAGACATATTAAATATTAATGTTTCACAAACTAATGAGGATGAACTCAAGAATCAAATAAGAATTTATAAAGCTGATTTGAAAACCTATGAACAAAGAATTGAAGATGAAATTGATATGAGAAGAAAATTAGAAATTGACATTAAGTTACTTAAAGAATCACTTAATAAAGAGAATAATAAAATTAATAGGACTTGGCATGTTATTGATGGTAAAAATGGGAAAGCTATTAAAATAGTTTTAGAAAATTCAATATTTACAATTGAAGAGAAAGAGTATCTGAATGGAAGAGTTTTTATTAGAGAATTGAAGAATAATGAATATCACTACTTTAGTGAGAGAAAAAGAAATCTTGCATTAGTTATCCATTTACTTGAAGAAACAATTATTAATTCTGATTCAAGTACATTTTCAAGAAGATCTATTAAATCTATTGAAGAGGAGTATAAGAAGGAAAAAGAGGTTTTTTTTGGACTCGAACAGCTGGCAGTGATTGTACCTAATGAATCTGCAGGTGAAATATTTACACAAATTAAAAATTCAAAGAAAAAAATTAATTATCTTAAATCAGAAATATCAAGAGTAATGAAACAGTCCATGAATGAAAACCAGCTGATTAATGAAATTAGTGAAGAGAGTGATAATTTACATGAATACAATAATCATAGATTTATTCAAAAGATAGTAGGTAAGGGAACTTTATGTGAGTGTTGTAATGATATTATAACTGGTGTCTTTTGTAATGCTTATTACTGTAAAGAGTGTCATTATACAGTTCATGATTATTGTTACTTATTAGTTGATTATTCCTGTGAAACTAAAAAAGCTATTGATAAAGGTAAAACTATTGTGATTGTCTGTAAAAGTTTAGAAGAGAAAGAAAGTCTTTTTAAAGCTGGTAAATAAAAATTTATACTTTTTAAACTTTTTTGTGATGTTATTTAATTGTTTAAAATAATATAAAATTTTATAAAAAAGTTTTTAATAATATTTTTTATTAAACTCAAATCATTCATTGTTTTTTACAATCATCTTTAATAATTTTAATAATGAAATAGCTAAAACATTATTCAAAGTATATTAATAAGTTTATCAAATTAGTGTATGTAAAATTCTATATTTTAAATGTATTAGATAAATATTATTACACAATTATTTTATTGTAATTTATATTTATTTAATTCAATTTAATTATACATCTCTTTTAATAACAACGAATCTTATCTAAACATACTTAATATGTTTTCTTATATAATTACAATAAACGTAATTATAGGGCTTTTGATCAAAAAGTAATTCTTTACAATCTAATTTAAATTTTTTAGATAATAATTATTTTTTATTCCTTATAATGTTAAAAAGACATAAGAAACAGGAAGGCATAAAACCAACTAAAAAATATCTAAAGGAAGGTTTAGAACTGTAAACTCTTTAAATATAAAGAATAAGAACAAAAGTTCTTTAAGGTTTGTCTTATAAAGACATCTTTATTACACTAGACATAAACTACAACACTGTTTATAAAATCTCTAAGAATTTTTTATTTACAGGTAATTTTTATTCAAAACCATGCAGTGAAGACAGGCATTCTAAACTTGCATTAAAACAAAAAAACATTTATTGCTTGGCTTAAATCAGATGCTATGCTAAAACTTAAGGATTTAGTTAATGAATCATTTGGTATAAATATGTCTATGAGTAAAGTTAATCGCTGTTTTAGACAATTTCATTATACTCTAAGCAAGA